CCCCCGCTGCCCCTTCCTCGTCCTCGGCCGCCGCCTCCTCACTCACCGCGGTCGGCTAGCCCGCTCGCCCTCTCGCCCCCGAGCCGCCCCACCCCCGGAACCTCGCCTCCTTCCGCGCCCCCAACCGCTCTCCCCCCAAACTTTCCGCCAAGATGGCGGCCCCGGAGCTGGACTGCCGCGCCCCCACGTGACCGCTTTCCCGGCGCTCCCAGCCAATGGTAAGTGAGGAGGCGGCTCGCGCCGAGCCCCGGGCTCTCAGAGCTGCTACCTTGGGGTTGGAAGGGGGAGGAGACCTTGGAGGGGGTTGGGGAGCGGGAAGGGCGACCCAGAGAGCATCCCAAGTGAACCTCCTCTCTTAAAAGGGCGGCCACCGAAGTGGCTCTGAGGACAAAGGAGTTGACACACAGACTCTACAGGTGGTCCGGAGTGGCCCTGGAAGAGCCCGCCTTTACCTTGCCCTAGCCCCCCAGTATGTCCCGCGGTTTTGAGCTGGTAGAGCGCGGGCCCTGCAGGACCGACGTGCTGAAGAGGGACGTGACCTCACCTACACTAGATCCAACACACATTCCGAGACACCCCTTAACCTGGCAAAACACATGTTATTCCCAACTCCACAGTCGGAGAGAGCGCCTGGCTCCCCCGGGGGTGGAGCCCCAACCGAGAAAAACGGACCTGAAGAGGAGCCGACCGCGCCACCCACGTTAGGTGGCCGGGGAGGGCGGGATTTGGGAGGGGGGAAGGGAGGAGTTCTGGCAGGGATTGCCATCCCTATACATTGCCTTCCACTTGCACTGATTTTTAAAGTTATTATTCGCCCTTCTGTAAAAGGTTTGGAGATTTTCATAAAAGAAGGGCATGTAAAATAGGGAGACTGGTTGATCTGGTTTGAAGGTTTGAGTAGAGGATTTTTAAGTCTAAGTAATTAACTCCAAGTTTGAGTGCATTTAAGGATGAAGAAAGAAGGTTTGTTCATTCATTCGCTCTTTCTTGCATTCCTTTCCCCATGCCTGCGTCCCCGCCCAGTCATCGTCTCAGGTATTAGCCGAGTTCTGGCAGCCCCTTTGAGAGCTCACCTGTAGCCACCTCCTTCAAAGCTGAGCCGCTCTCAGCCCGCGCGGGCTGGTTTAAGGTTCAAGTGCACCTCAGAGCGGAACGGACCTGCTTCTGGGTAGTAGAAGGGGAATCTCGGAAAGCTCTCCAAGTCACTGCCCAGGTCTTCGATGCCTCTTCTGGGTAACAGGGATCTCTCTGCTCTGAGGTCCAGAGAGAAGAATTTGCCCAAGATCACCAAGAGTTAGCGACAAAATGGAAACTCAAAGATTCTGTCTTTCAAAACCGAAAGGCTCTTCCCAGTAAACCTGACAGCCTTTAACTGAGGCTGTATCTGTTGGATAATAAAGAGAAGTCAGAGGAACCGTGTACTGTAACCATAACAGCTGCTTAGAGGTATGCTGACCACTGGATTTCACTTTTGGATTGCCCCTTGGAATCCTAACTTGTGAGAACCCAACGACTTTAGAGCTCATCTACACCCACTTTCTCAGTTTAAGAAAAAGAAACTGAAGTCCAGAAAGGGGAAGGAACTTTCCAAGGACATATAAGCTAATCAGTGACAGAGAAGCCCAGAATTCAGGTCTCCTAGCTCCAGTCCGCTCTTCCCACTATGATTTTGGATAACTTGACAGATGTTGGTAAATTGGCAGCACATCTCTATGCTCTCCTGGATCAAGCATCCTGGATGGAATCTTGAGCAACTGTTAAAGCAACGTTGCATAGAGGAAATGCAAAGGAAGAGGGGCTTGCAAAAGCAATGAGCTTAATAGATGGATAGAGGTTACTTAATAGAGAAAATGGCAGATGGCATACATGATATTATCAAGATTTCATTGAAGAACTGTTAATGGAATGGTTTCAGTAAGGAGCCATCCTAAGTGTGGAATCTCTTCAGAATTTGGAGGAGGGAAGTTTGCCCTCCCCCTTGATATCATTCATTGTTCATATATGTTCACTTGCTAGGCACTGGGGATAAAAAAACTAACATCCAAGCGCTGCTCTCAAGGACCCACAGCCTCATAGCAAATGGACAAAGGCTAATGCAGCTTTTCCCAGGGGCCACTGAAGAGTCAGAAATAAAATTCGTGTGAGTTCTCAATGTCATCCTAGTTCTAAAACAAAGATGAGGAAGAAGAGAAAAAAGGGCATGTTGCCCTTCTTTCTTGTCATCCTCTGTGACAACGCTATTTGGTTGTCAGCAGTGTCCAAAAGCAGGAATGAACCTATCACTTGTTCTACCCTTAGGGGCTAGGACAGGTCATTCCTCCTTCCTACCCATCTATTTTAGTTACTTATTGCTGCATAACGAATTCTTCAAAGCTTAGTAGTTTAAAAGTTAGTAGCTTAGTATCTTAAACAACAATAAACATTATCTCATAGTTTCTGTGGATCAGGAATTCAGAAGCAGCTTAGTTGGATGGTTTCCATTTAGGGTCTTATGAGGTTGCAATCAAGATGTCTACCAGGGCTGCAGAAATCTGAAGGCTTAACTGGAGCTAAGGGAGGCTCTTTCAATATGGCTCCACTCACGTGACTAATAAGGAGATGCTGGCTGTTGGCCTCAGTTTGTAACAATGAAGACCTTTCTGTGGGCCACTTGAGTGTCTTCATGACGTGGAAGCTGACTTCCCCCAGAGCACGTGATCCAAGAGGGCAAGGCAGGAACCACAATGTCTTTCACGACCTGTTCCCAGAAGTAACACTCTGTCTTAGTCTGCTTAGGCTGCTATAACAAAATTCCTTAGACTGGGTAATTTATAAACAACAGAGATTTATTGCTTACAGTACTGGAGACTAGGAAGTCCAAGATCAAAGCACCAGCAGATTCAGTGTCTGGTGAGACCCCATTCCTCATAAATGCCCTCTTGCTGCATTTTCCCATGATGGAAGGGGCAAACAAGCTCCCTCAGGCCTCTTTTTTAAGGGCACAAATCCTATTCATGAGGGCTCTACCCTCATGACCTAATTACCTCCCAAAGATCCTATCTCTAAATACCATCACCTTGAGGGTTAAGATTTCAACATATTAATTTCGGGGGGGGGGACATGAACATTAAGTCCATAGCACACTCCACCATTTCTACAATAGCCTGTTGGTTACTTAGATCAGTCTCAAGGATATGAATACCGGGTGGTAAGAATCATTGGGGGCCATCTTGGAGACTGGCTACCATATTATCACAACATACAGAGCAATGATATACGGATATTTCCAAACAACTTTTATTTCCTCGAAGTCTTTCTTAGCAGTTAGAAGTTGCCATTCAGTAAGACCCAGTATAAGATCTGATTACTTTTCCAACCCATACATTAAAAAATACATATATAATATACATATATAGTTGAATAAAAGTTACTACTACAACAACATACTATTGGGTAAAGCTGTTCACAGCTTTCCAGCTCCAAGTAAACTTTCCTTTTTTTTTTTTTTTTTTTTTAAAGATGACCGGTAAGGGGATCTCAACCCTTGGCTTGGTGTTGTCAGCACCATGCTCAGCCAGTGAGCAAACCGGCCATCCCTATATAGGATCCGAACCTGTGGCCTTGGTGTTATCAGCACCACACTCTCCCGAGCGAGCCACGGGCCGGCCTTAAACTTTCCTTTTGAATAGCTTAAAAGGCTTAGAAGTCAATGGACCACAGGGAAAGGCTCAAATCTCCCACTCTTATTGAGATGTCAGAGAATCGATCACAAAAAGTATTGTCTCTTAGTTCCAAACCTTCTTTTTTTTTTTTTCAAAAGATGACTTGTAAGGGGATCTTAACCCTTGACTTGGTGGTGTCAGCACCACGCTCTCCTGAGTGAGCCACGGGCCGGCCCTCCAAACCTTCTTTTCCCAGCCATCTTTCTACCCAAGCCACCTTTGTAGTTCCACATCTGTCTTTG